TAACTTCCAGGAAAAGGAGAAAGTATGATATTGGCAGAGGAGATTTACAGAGGCAGGAAATGGAGGTGAAGGGCTTTTATTAGATAGTTATAGCTATACTTCACAGTCTGAGCATAGCCCCTATATTTCTCTATAGACTTGCAAACATACACCTACCTCCTATACACAGAAAACATAAACACTCCCATGTACATGTTACATTCAACACACAAATCTGGATCCTTATTCAGCTGATGGGGAAAAAAACACTAGATTTGGAGTTTAAATCCCATCTCTGCCACCTTGTATGACTTTGAGCAAACTCCTTAACCTCTCCTGAGCTTCAATTTTTTCATTACTAAGATGCAGGTTGTAATACCTAACATCACAAAGTGTTTAGACGATCAAGTGATACAAAATGCAAAAAGTGTAATCATTAAAACAATTCTGTAAGGCAAGTTTAATCTGCACTTTATAGATTTACAGAGGAGAAAACAGGTGCAAAGAAAGCAAGTGCTTCACCCAAGGTCAAACAGGAAGTAATCAGAGAAGTCAGCGATTAATCCCCTCCTGACTCTAAATACTCAGATGTCCTCTCCCTATCCCTCCCATGGCATAGGCAAATTCCATCTCTCCTGCTGCCTTCTCTTTGGGCTCTCAAACATAAACAGGTTGTCCAGTAATGGCTCTTCCATCCCCGCTGATCTCAGGGTCTGCCCTACTCACAGCACTTGGAGTTAACCAAGTAGGTCAAACATGGTAGGTACTTGGTTTGCTGGCAATAAAAATGTTATCAAAGCATTTGTAAGTCAGAGATGGAGGAGACAGAACTTGGAAGCCACCATGATGGCACGCCACAGGACCAACAGCCTGAGTGTAGGGAGTGTAGGGAGATTGATAAGGCACTGCGCAGGTCACCTCGTATCACTTTGAACCTTCACTCTTCCCATCATTATGGACTCTCGGACTGAGGTTTCTTTGGTACACAGATTTCATCTTCACCCTCGGAGTTCAGGTTCCATTAGGGTGGTCACAGAGTCTGTGTGGCACGGTACTGTGGGGTTAGTTTAACAGAGCACACAGAGTGCTGGCTCCCTGCCCCCTGTCCACACCAGGGCCTTTACAGGGCCTGCACCAGGGCCAGGTGAAAGACAGTGACTTTTAGGAAGGTAGGTAATAAGAACTTGTTCATCATTTGAAAAAAATAAAAATAAAAGCCAGGCAAAAGCCTTTCTGCTAGCTGAAATCCAGACACTCTTTTCCCATCATAAGAATCCGAAATGCAAAGGTAGAAGGTAGCGGAGGAGGCAAACCACTGAGGAGGCAAGAGAAAGCCCTACTGCTGAAAGACCTAAACATTTCAGTAGAACCAGATTTTGTATCCAGTTAAAATTAGTTGTGTTCATCAACATCCTGTTTGGTGTGCTCATCCATCTGACATGCTGACAATTAAGAAGCAGTGCTACGGGCTGGCCTGTGGCTCACTTGGGAGAACGTGGTACTGATAACACCAAGGCCACGGTGTTCGGATCCCTATATAGGGATGGCCAGTTAGCTCACTTGGGAGAGCATGGTGCTGACAACACCAAGTCAAGGGTTAAGATCCCCTTACTGATCATCTTTAAAGAAAAAAAAAAAGAAGAAGAGGTGCTAATTGATTTTATTATTGGATCACACAGGCCAGGCCTTTCCCATGAGTTTGCATCCATCTACTTCAGTAAATGATGTTATTAACTATCCCATGAAAACGCACTATTAGCTGAACATTTCTCCGAGTACTTTGAGTTCATCTTGGAAACTCAGGTTAGTCAGGATCCTATATCCCGAGGAAATAAGAAACAGGCCCATTACCCCAAAGAAAAGGATACACATTCTTGTATCCTTAGGAATACAAGAATGTGGGCACTTTCTAAACTGTGTGTTTCTGTTACACTCATTTCTCAGCTCCACACACGCCCATCTAAACTCTGCGTTTTGATGCTGGGGCTGGCACTCTACAAAGGCATTTCTCCTTTGCCATCTGCCTCCGTTACGCCAGCAGGGGGTGCTAGAAGGGGCCTGCAAAGCTGTCAGCATCACCCCAAGTAGCAGCAGCAGTTTGTCTCAGAACCAGCCTTATGACACCTCCTGAGAGATGCTTGCACTGGGGCTGGGCTCCAGCTCCTTGGGGCCCTCCTTGAGCTCCTAGGTTGTGATAACCCCAACTTCTTCCTTGTGCTTTCCTAGCCCTAGGAATGGTGACTGTTTCCTGTGCTCCCCCCACCCCCTGCCACACACACACTGATTGTTCCTTATTGCTCCTCCAATATCTGCCATATTGGTTTCTTACATTAAATTAGCTGTTACAATAACTTATATAATTTCCACATTGCTGACAGGACTAATACAGCACACTTAGAAGCCACAGCTTCCTTTATAACAGTGGTTAAAAGAGCAGATTCTAGAACCTGTCACACCTGAGTGTTAATCCAAACCCATCTATGTAATACCTGGTAACTCTGGAAAATTTAATTCACCTCTTTAGGTCTCATTTTTCTCAATCATTTTCATTTACACTATTAGTATATACTGAGCGCCTACTATTAGTATATACTGAGCGCCTACTAAGTGCCAGGCACAGTGCTAGGCGTAGAGATCCAATAGTATGCAAAACACATTCCCTGACCTCCTGGAACTTCTTGTCATGTGAATTAAATAAGATAACAGGTAAGGGAGTTAGCATGGTGCTGGGACTTCCTCTCCATACCATGACAGACTTCTCCACACCATTACAGGAAAGCAAAGACAAATGGGTCTGGAAGAAAGAAGTGTTTCAACTCCTAGGTCTCTCCAGAAAACAAGATGAGTGTCTTCCCCAACAAGGGTGAAGGTCTCAGTCAATATAACAGCAATGATTCATTACATGCTCTGTCCATTCTCCTGTTCAGAGCAGAGAAGCAATGATCTTGCAACAGCATTCATTCAGAGAGAAATGGGACAAACCAGCCCCACAGAGGCAACTCTTCGAGGTGGTATTTTAAAGAAATCCCAAGGAGATGAGTACCTGTGACACTGAGGAAAGAGCAACAGAAGCTGCAGTGCAGGGTCAGAACTGGAGTCCAGAATGACCACAGGGTATAAGTGTAAGAAGATACCAGAAAGCTGCTATTGCAACACCCGTCACAATGACAGTCTTTTTCCCATAAAGAATATATATATATATATTTGTAAATATATATATATTTTATATATATATTTGTAAATATATATATATATATTATATATATTATATATATATTTGTAAATACGTTTATATTATATATGCTTACATATGTTTATATATTCTTTATACAGACATGCACACACTCTCATCTCACACTCACACAAGTTATATATTTATATGTCAATGAACCAGAACTTACTTTATGCTTTCTGCAGCAGGACTATACATCTAGAGAGGCCAGAGAGGTGATAAGATGGAAAAGAAAAGAAAGATTCCGATTCCATTTAAGCCTGAATCCAAAGGCCCTTGGCTACGAGCAAGGAGAAGCTGAAAAGAAATCCAAGCTTCACATTTTGACACAATCCTTCCTTGGTCTTCTGCTGCCTAGATATCAGGCATATTGTGGCAAGGATGGCCAATGTTCTCTTTAGCAAGGAAGTTTCTGCAAGACCGCTGTGTAGCTTAATTCTTGAAAACCATATCTACAACACATTGATACCCTGTAAATGCAGACTAAACTCCTCAGCCTCAATTTTTTACTCACTTTGACATGATTATGACCATCAAAAGTCATACTGAAGGAAAATAACCTTGGAAAATTATTATTAGGAGGTCTATTCCACATCCTTGCCCTAGGGCCTCATTATAAATAATTTACTGTCACTGAAGGAATTGAGAGTTCCATAAGGCATGAAAAGCCTGGAGAGAGTTTTATTCATAAATAAATGCCAACACTTAAACAATAAAGGCAGCTTCAAATTCCAGGGCTTTTGAAGTGAACAATATATACTGCCTGGATGATTTATTATGGTTTTGTTTATAGTCCGAATGGGAAGATAATTCAATTCCACCTGAAGAGTCATTATATGGCCAAGCTCAAGAGACGTACTTTGGATAAAAAGTGGTGTTTCTCAGTTTTTCCATTTCAAAAAAAGTTATTATTTCTATATTTAGAACTTCACCCAGGCAATTTCTTTCATGACTTGTAGCACTCTTGAGCAATTAAAAAAATTTATAAGGTGAAAGAAGTAGGAGACAAACACCAAATTCAAAATGATCCACGAAACACTGAAGAGCCCCCAGAGAGCACTGATGTCTCAGATATAAGGTGAAATAATCCCTTCTGCTCAAGGAAAATGAAATGAGCAGTGAGGGTGCATCTCAGCAAGAACATTATTACCCAGCAGAAGTAACCTGCTAACTACACACTTCACCTCCAAACAAGCCTTTTAACAGGAGTTCTGAGCAAAGGTACCTCCTGATGAGATGGAGAAATATTCCTTGGCAAAATGTCTTCACTGGGACACATGGCAGTCTTCTCCTTTATTCCCCCTATCACACATTTAGATCATTCATGGAGTAGAACCTGTTTGTAATACAGTTGTCCCTCGGTATCCATGGGGGATTGGTTCCAGGACCTCCCGAGGATGCAAAATCTGTGGATGCTCATTTAAATTGGTGTAGTACTTGCACATAACCTAGGCACATCCTCCTGTACACTTTAAATCATCTCTATATTACTTATAATACCTAGTACAATGTAAATGCTAGGTAAAAATAGTTGTTATACTGCATTGTTTGGGGAATAATGACAAGAGAAGTCTGTATGTGTTCAGTACAGACACAATTATTTTTTTCAAATATTTTCAATATGCATCGAAATATTGAATTCCATGGATTGAATCCATGGATGTGAAACCCACAGGACATGGAGGGCTGACTGTACATTCTTGGGTGTGGCAGATGACACATTTGAACATGCAAGGGTAGAGTGGCCTGGCCTATAAGGACAGCCTCTGGAATCCCTGGGCTTACATACCATCCAGGCCATTGTGATGACTGTAGTTTCTTTTCCCCAGAATGCTCAGAGATGTGTGATTTGGGGTAGTAAGCATCCGCTTGGTAGTTGGGGTTTGCAGACTTGGTGTAGATCGAATTACATTAGGTTTCTTCGCAGGATGGATTTCTGACAAGGGGAAAAAAGGTTTCTCAACTCAGAACATGGTATTAAAATTTTCTGTCTTACATTGGCTAATAGGCACACATCTTATTTCTTAATGAGCTGAGAGTCAGTTCCTTATGAGCCAGCCAAGGCCTTGCATAATGAAGCAGCTTCAAGTGTTGTTACCATGGCTTTGGTTATCAATTAAGCTGGTCCTTCCCCTGGCAGCTGCAGCTCTGAGTCTTGGGGTGTGAACACAAGGAAAAGAAAAAAAAAAGCCACTCCAGAAGGTCACTTACGACATGAGATTTACTAAGCGAATAAAGCACCTGATGCTTCAAGGTATCAGAAATCAAAGGGTTATCTAGAGAGGTAGCCTCAGAAAAAACCACCTCTGTGCTCTGTCAGACCAGGACCGTGCAACTTGTCTGGTGTGTGAGCTTTCTGAAAAACAGGATTCCTCCTCTGGTCATGCAACCAGAGTGTGAGATCAGGGTTAATCACTCCCAACCCAACATTTTGATGTAGATAAAATCTGAAACCAAAGTCCACACACAATAATAGCCAAGAGGTAGAAGAAATGCTTTGACCAAGGATATATCGCAAAACCATAATGGGTATGTGTTATACAAGTGTTTAAGCAAATTACAGTTGACCCTGAACAATGAAGGGGTTAGGGGTGTAGACCAAAAATCCACGTATAACTTTTGACTCCCTAAAAACCTCACTACCAACAGCCGACTGTTGCCTGTTAGCCTTACCAGTAACACAGATGTTTGTTTACATTTCTCTCAAGTGCAAATGGCACCACGTACTAGTAGTCTATGTTTGTGTGCATATGTTTTGATAAATTTAACTTTTTAATATAGATTTGTATATATCTTATGGTAGTAAATGATGAAATAGACTAGTATCTACATATATTTTATGCATTCATGACATATCTTTTTAATTTTTTTGACAGTTCTCGTCTATGCACTTTGTCTGCAAGTTTTTTCAAATTGTTACAAATCTCCAAAACATTTCCCCACATATTTATTGAAAAGAAATCCACATATAAGTGGACCCACGCAGTTCAAACCTGTGTTGTTCAAGGATCAACTTGTATATTGCTGTCACAACACAGCCCAGGAATACTTAAAATTTTAGAGTAGATGGACAGAAATTATAATACTGTAGGAATTGGATTTAAGGACCTCAGTCTATTACTAATACTGGGCAACCTTTTCTCCAAAGCTTAACCTGCTCACTGATACTCAGTGTTATCCACCAGCATGCCAACTACTTGCAGGCCACCCTGCCTTCTCACATTCCTGTGCAAGGTGGGGACCAAGATATTAGCCTGATTTACTGAAATTTAAGAAAAGCTGTTAGGATTTTGAGAATTACTATGTCTTGGTCTGGTCAAAATGCTACACTTGCCAAAATTTAGAAGCGACTTATATATTTCCTAAAATAGTGGGGTTTTTTTCCAACATGACATGAAGGTTTGCCAACCTCACTTTTAATTACAACCTTCACACCCTATGCTCCATTCAGATCAGACAACCTCCCTTCCCTGAAACTTTCAGGTTCTGGGACTCACTGAAGCCTTTGTTCATCTGGTTCTCTTGGCCTCATGAGGGAAGATAATATTCTTTTCTTATTTTTCCATCTATTTAAATCCTTCTTTCAAGGCTGAAATCAACTATTACTTTCTTCAGGTAGTGTGTCCTTAACACTCATCAGAAACAACTACTCCTTCCTCCAAATACCTAATGTATATTACCTGCAATTCTTTTATAGGATCCAATCCTTTCTTTTACAGTTTTTACCTCTGTGCTTTCCCCACTAGACTAAGATTTTTTAGGGCAAGTTCATATTCATCTTGGTGTTCCCCAAATCACTTAGTACAGTGTCTTGAACATAGTAAACACTCAGAAATATGTTGTGTAGAAACGTGGTTCAACTAGTAAGGTCGGAATCATTTGGGGCTTATCTGGTAGGGAAAGAGACCAATTTGCCCACAGGAGGAACACACAATTTCCAATGTAAAGGCTGACTAATATGCAATGTTATATTCTATTTTTCATGATCAGAAACTTTCCCTTGCAAGGTGGGAAGGGGTTTCCAGGAGTCAGTCCTAAAAGGGATACAGATGGTAACTCAGGGACTTTACCACCATGTCCTACAATAACAATATGATATTTTCAGGTATATCAAAGCAATTCTTTAGCCAAAGAGTAATAAAAGAAGAAATAAGGTGGGAGAGAGTAATATCAAAGAGGAGACTTGAGCTTCTGATTCCTGGGACACTATGAGGAGGACCAGATAATATACCAAGTTCAAGGCTATACTTTGATTTTTAAAAGATTGGATGTCTAAACCCCTTTCCCTTGTTTGGAGAGATAATGCTTTTGGAGCTATCCCCACTGTTCACCTTTCTTGTACGTAATAAAACCTTTTCCTCCAAATAAATAAATAAATAAATAAATAAATAAATAAAAAGATAGGATGTCAAAGTCTGAACACTTCATAACTATAAATCTTTCGTACAGAAAGATAAGCAATAAAGTTCAATGCAACTCTGAGTACATATTTCACTTTTACTGAAAAAAATGAATAATATTAGAAGTACAAAAACATGTTACTCTTACTTCTAGGTACATGAGAATCCATTATTTTGTAAATCATTTATCTTAAAACTACAAAAAAAAAAATAAAGGAGGTTATTGCCTAGTAACTTTTTAATACTATTCTTAATTGTGATCTTTCAACATGTAAATGAAACCATCATCTTCAGAGATTTCCAAGTTAGATGGCATAACAAACAGAAAGCAATACAAATGCTTCCCTTTCAAAGTAACCTTAATTGGCACATCAAAACTTTTTTTAAAGGGATTTAAATATTTTTTTAAGGTAGATTAAAAGTCAGTTTGTTCTCATTTTTTAAAAAATGTAAATAAACCAATCCTTCTCTATTTAAAGGGAGAGGTGGCATAGGTTAGAAATAGCAGAAGGATCTAAATAAAAACATGAAGAATATTCATACTCTAAGTAATAATTGATCGATTTTTATTTTCCTCTTTTTGCTTTTGTATTTATTTCCATGAATATGTTACATCTTTATTCAATGATTTTTTTTAAAAAGTAAACACAGATCCATAAATCTGTGTGTGTGCGTATGCTGGCAATAAAGTTTCCAAAACAAAATAAACTGACTATACATATAAAAGTAGACAATTTCAGTTATTTTAGAGGCTTGAATTTAGTTTAGGTATGTCCATTTCGAATGGCCAAATATCTATAACATACAGAAATTGTTCTTTTTTTTTTTTTAAGATCCAAACCCGGGGCCTTGGTGTTATCAGCACCGCACTCTCCCGAGTGAGCCACGGGCCGGCCCCAGAAATTGTTCTTTGAGTTTTTTCCTCTATTAGAAAATACCCACCTAGGGGGAGGGAAGAAGACACAACAATTACAATTCCTTGAAGTTGATACAACAAGCGAACAGAAAGGAGGTTGTTGGGAGGGAGGGGGGAATGGGAGGAGGGAGGGAGGTTTCGGTAATGGGCCACAATAATCAACCATATTGTATACTGACAAAATAAAATAAAATTTAAAAATAATAATAATAATAAAAAGAAAGCAGAAACAGAGAACAAAAAACAAAAAAAAAAGAAAAAGAAAAAGAAAAGAAAATACCCACCTAAATATCCAATGATACATGCCAAAGGTTTCCTAGTGCTTTTGCTTTTCAGTGGACTTCCAGAGAGTTCAGCATGTCTGTCTGCATCTGAGGAGAAAAAAAACATGAAGAGGACCAATGAATTGGATTTCTCTACTACATCACACACACTGCAGAAATAGAAGGTGCAAGTGAAAAACAGTGCAAAATATCTACCAGATACCAGCATACTTTCCCTTTGGGTTAGAGAAAACTATTTCTAATTCTGGTTCCCAGTTACTGAAGGACAGATTACATGGAGAACATTCGCCTGAAAGCCCCATATGAGAGTAACTAATATACATCTTACACACACATGCTTTCTTATTGTGTGCACCCATCTGAAAAGCAATGGAAATAGGCTTCCCTTCTTTTTTTCGGCAGCTGGCTGGTATGGGGATCTGAACCCTTGCCCTTGGTGCTGCAACACCATACTCTAACCAACTGAGCTAACCAGCCCTCTCTATGCTTCCTTTGTAGTCACGGCATTCCTATAGTAGAAAAATGCCCATAAAGTAGGAGGTGGAATCAGTCCTAATACAAGACTAAGCGGGCGTGGAAGATAAGAACGACAGCCGACAAAGGCAATGCACTTGGCAATCCCTGGCCTAGATGAGCGGCTCCCCACTGAGAAGTCTTAACCTATCTCAGCGAAACTCCATTTCATTAGAGGCTGGCAAGGGGAATAATGGCCCATTTGACTTTATCATTAGTTTTGTATTCCTCATACCCTACTTCAATGTCATTAGTGCTGAGATTTAAAAGGTTACCTGTATGCAGACAGAGCATTTCATCCAACAGACTAGTAAGATACTGTGAGGATGGATATTAGCTTATAGAAGTTTTCATCACACTCCTCATACCCTATCATAAGACATTTCAGACAGGGAAAAATAAAGCATACAACACAAACACTGTGTTTTAATTAGCTGTCACAAGGATGGAAGAGTAGATGTGGAACATGGCTGCCTCTCATACTAAGGAGTCAAGTTATAAAAATGAAGTTTGAAGGGATAAAACAAAATGTATATTGAAACATTTTTTAAAATTCACAGATATTGTCATAAAGCTCGAGTACTTGTAACTGATATAATTCTATGTTTATGCCTTTTCCCTGACTTCAAATATTTGACAAGAATGTCCTACAGGTTTTTGTGATTCTACAAGAGAATTTTTCCTTTTGAAAGCTGAGACCACATTTACAGGAAATTTCCTTTGATATTCATAGGAATTCTTTATGATATTAGTGTTAAAAAGGACAAATCAATCTAGAATCTCAAGTAGTTTAAAATAACAATTAACTTTTTCATGAGCTCTAGCCCTTTCACCAAGAAAACCCTTTTCTAAAAACTATTAAACAGAAGGTATGAAAACAGCATTTTAAAATACATTAAAATAGACAAACACATACTGCAGAGAGCCTCAAACAACAGGAATATGTACCCCCAGCACTGGCTAATTATGCAACCACTGACAACTATAAATGATGCAATTTCTTCTCCTGTTGAGTTGACTCCCTCAGGGAAAAAATAAATAAGTAAACTATGAGGGCTTTCACCTGTTGTTGAATAATAGTGAAGGTACAGGCAGAAATATAAGCATATTTTGAAGGAGTACTCTAAATAAGCATCAGGAAGCAGCCCAAACCCTGCAAGGATCAAACACCTGTCAGAACACTACAAGCTAATACTACATAATTCCTTCCCAATATTACTAATTCACCTAAAATTCAAGTTACATTTGGTATAAGAATAAGAGAACATTTTCTTTCTTCTCAATTAATAAAATAAAGCTTGGATGAAATGAATTATCTTGGTTAGTTCCTCAATGTCTTCAACAAAGGCAATCACTGTATTACTAGTAATAAGATCACTCTTTAAATTCCACCTATAAGCCCCAAAGGAAAACTGCCAGTATGGCTGCAATTGATGGACATTGATAGATATTACCATTACCTTGACAAGATCAATACATCCACAAAGGGGTCATCAACACAATATCCAAGGATATTTCTTTTTAAACTATACTAATTTGCTTCTAACTTCTCATTAAGTTAGTAGGATTAATTATTTGATGTTCCAAGTGACAATTCTCATCAGAGAGTACCTCTGAGCAGGAGATCAAAGCTCTTTAGAAGGATTCATATTTCACTAATTCTCATCATATTTTAAAGAAAATAGTTGGTGGCCAGAATTATCAGTCTCAACTACATAGTAATTAGAATGAAATGTACTAAGACTACCTAGTCACTATTTAACATGAGAAAAGTTGCAGCCATTCAGTAGGAAAAACACATTCTGCCCTGAGGGAATGATTATAAATAGGATTATCTGGTACACACTTGAGCAGTCCCTGCTCCCACATTACTCACCTAACTGTGTTTAAACAGAGAGATATGCATTTAAAGTGCACAGAAAAAGAAAGCAACCTGAGCAAAGTAGAAAGAACCCAGAAGGAATCAAAATCTGCCCAGAGAGGAAAAACATCTGTATATCAAGTCAATCAATTGGGCTCGAGAAACATGTCTTTAGCTTCCTAGAGGATGATCTATATCTCCTTAACTTCCCAGAGGATGATCTCTATCTCCTTAACGTAAACCTGGAAAAAAACTGTTGTTTTTATTGCAACTCATGACTATTTTTCTACAATGTTTTGGAAATATGGTGGGGTGCGAGAAGAGAGAGAAGAACTGCAGAATATATGCACTGAATTAAGATTCACAAAAACATCTTAGGCAGGCTTTCAAGATCCCTCTCAAAATAAAACCATCAGGACTGGCTGGTTAGTTCAGTTGGTAAGAGCGCCACCTATAACACCAAGGTCAAGGACCCCAAACTGGCCAGCCACCAAAATACAAACAAACAAAATTAAAATATCAGTAGAATTTGCTTATAGAATTATAAAGGCATTTCTAAATAAGACACAAAACCCAAGTACCATAAAAAGATTTCTGATAATTTCAACTAAAAATTTCTTTTAAAAAGATCTGCTTGGTAAATACATCTTAAAGTCAAAGACAAAATTGGGGAAATATTAGCATCACATATCACAGATCAAGAGCTAACTTTGTTCAAACATAAAAAGTTCCCACAAGTCAATAAGACTCGTATCTAACAGAAAACAGGCCAGGGGCAAAAACTGTTGACAAAAAAAGTAAATACAAATGGCTTTCGAATATATGCAAAGATTTCTATCCACTCAAAATGAGAAATGCAAGCTAATTTAACTTGTTCATAACCTGTCAACTAGTCAAGGGTTTTAAAGACGAGTAACACTGCTGGCAAGGTTCTAGAGAAATAGGCACTCTCTAGATTTTGTGAGTGGGAGGGTAAATTGCAGTTCTTCTGAGGGAAACTCGTAACAACTATCAAAGTTCAAACTGCAGGTTGCTTGACTCATACTTTTACTTTTACGGATCTATCTTGTAAAACACATTCCCATTTTACATGTCAATATGAAATATCTGTATAAGGATATTTTTTGCAATATTATTTACATTAGAAAATGATTGGCCATAACCTAAAACTTTTAAGTAGGGAACTGGTTAAATTTATGGTACAACAAAAGAACTACCACGCAGCTGACAAAACAAAAAAAGGAGGTAGCTCTCAATGAACCAGTATGATATATTAAGTACAAAAAAGAGCTAAGAGGGCCGGCCCGGTGGTGCACTGCTATAGTGCGCTGCTTGGGAAGCGCGGCGGCGCTCCTGCCGAGGGTTCGGATCCCACATGCAGACCGGTTCCCGCTCACTGGCTGAGCGAGGCGCAGGAGCAACACCGAGGGCTGCGATCCCGCTGCCGGTCCCGGTCCGGTACGGGGGCGACACTGAGGGTTGCGATCCGTTGCCGGACACGGAAAAAGACAAAAAAAAAAAAAAAAAGAGCTAAGGT